AGAATGCGGAACGAGAAACATCGCCGGATGGACACATTTAGATTAATGAGGATCGTGCATTTAGACAGCTTGTTTGCCTTAATGCTTTTCCAAGTGAATTAACACGGCTGAGTCTGTATTCACAGCATGTAGCAACGCTGCCTCAAATGTAAAGTGCATCGACATCGGTATCATTTCTAATTGGCTCCCTTTCGGTAACTTCAATGTCACATGAAAGGCCTCCCTAATAAGAGGTGTCCCAAAGACTCGTTTCCAGGACGTAGCATATAAATGCTGCAGCCAACCATAGGAGCTGAAAACCCTTCTCTTACATATATTGCGCGACCATTATAATTGTCCTACCTTCATCAACTTAATTTTTACATTTAATGGTTAATAATAGAAATAACTTGAGAATAAGATAAGAAAAGACGAAGTCAGTCTGAATATATTCTGTGATCTACTTCACGGTACTTAGTGAAATAGTTATACAATATGTTTAATGATAGTTAATATAAAATTTGACAATGCAATAAGACAATAGTTGAATATGAAAAGTTTTATGCATTATTTTTTTTTTTTCTATAGCTCTTAATGCATCTTGATGTACTGTTTACAAATGCGCGAGCAGCAGATGCGTAGCTAGGGTTTACAGCAACCGGGGACTAATTTTGCGCCCGTTACAAAATGGTGTAGGAATTAAAAGGGTGCTTTTCGTTTTAAGTTCTAGATAAAGGGAAAACTATTACACTTGATTTTTAAAAAGGAAAAAAAAATGTAACTTGACACACTGTTGTTTAAATAACTTCATAGATTTTCATTATTTTAAAAAAATTTTTTTCAGCATTTGAAACTTCATGGCTTACTATAGGTTTGTTGGAGCTAACTTTTTCTGTACTAAAGAGAATCGGCGACAAAAAGCTTCTCCCATAGAATGGCGTCTTCGTATCCTTATGTACCTCTAGCACGTGCAGTTGACAACCATTTTTTAATAAAATTGATTAACAAGAAGCGTAATTCCCCATGGTAATTTCTTGACCTTATAGTCAAAGAATGACTGTATATTCTTAAATAAGGCTTGAGTTTGCATTTATTCCACTGTTAACTTTTTACAGCGCTTAAACCTATGACTCCATATGGAATACAAAGGTTATAATTTTTATTTTTTTTTAAGGCTTCCATATCCAACAGTGAAGTAAAATCAAAATGCTATTAAAACTTAATGAAATGTATAATGTTAGGCTTAAAAAAACTGCGGATTGAGCCCCAGTTTTTCCCAATCACAGCTGAGCGCCCTTAGTGAATAATATTTTAAGCAATATTTGGGTCACTGCTTAAAAAATGTTACTGCCTGTCCAAATTTTATCGAAATTTAAAAAACAAAACTATGGAAAGAAATTGGAAAATCTGAAAATGAATTTTTTTTTTTTTCACCACAGCTTGCATATAGTTTTCGTTTTTAAACTTTTATAATAAACATCTTGTTCGTAATATATACAAATTTTTTTATATTAAGAAGGTAACAATTGAATACTTGTCAGATTAATTTATTTCGTAATCGGAGGATCTTACATAGCAATTTAAATTACGAAATAATTTATTTGAAACAAAGTAAAATTTCATAAGTCTACTGGCAAAGAAATTATTCTGCTGCTATTATTAATGTTTATATAAACATTTCGCTAAAAAATTATTCTGTTTTTATAAAATGCATGACCAAAAACTGTTTTTAGAAATAAATGCAATTGCGTTGACACGCCTAAATGAAAAAGGAATTTTCTCTTTGAAAATAAAATTGTCGAAACAGTAATTGAATTGACAGGTGTGCTATTGTTCTGGAATGAGACACACCCCGTTTTTGCATTTTTCAACTTGTTTCAGGTATAAATATTTAAAATTGTCCTATGATACACATTGCTCGTGAGTTAAACCAAACATTTCAGATCTTTTTGAAAACCTTAAAACTATTTTTCTTGTGGAGAGAGAGATATTCGCTATCCTATCTCTTGTATCATAATTCAAAACTTCAGTGCGTCATGACGCATCATATGAAGCCCCAATTTATCTGACATGTCATTCTGAAAGCGAAAATTTCATCCCATTTAAAATATTCTGCGAAATATTATCCTTCTGGCCATGGCGGGTAAAATTTTAAAATCAATATGAGTGAACGAAGCTAACAAGTGACGATTAATCCCGAGTTTCACTAGAAGGCTGGCTTTTGTGACATCTCTGAAAATCTACTTTATAACTCCGGCCTTGGACAGTCGGAACGCAATCCATTTTTCATTTCAGCCTTAAACAGCACCTGCATTTTATTTATTTATTTTTCCGACCTGCTGGGTTCTTTTTACGAAATAGAATTTAATTTTTATTAAGACTGCTGCTAGCTACGATTATTTTTTATTTTTTTCAAAAAAAATGTATTTATATACCAATGCTTTCATAATTTATCTCTTTTAGTAAGCGAAAAGCTGTTTTTTCGTATGATTTATTGCCCTGGTTTTCATCAGCGTTTACTGGTTTTATACTGAATTCTTCTTCTCGTGTACGAATTTTTTTGTATTAGAAACAACTTAAATTTGAAAATAAAAAAAAGAAAGAAAATCGTGATTCGTTAGTTATTAGAATTTTTTTTTCCGTTTGAAGCAAACAAGTAAAGTATAAATATTAGGTTTGAGCTATTTTTTTTTTTTTTTTTAACTTTGATATAAATTTTATCTGATACAATTATTTTAATTAGTTTAAAAAAATTATTTCGAGTTCCCAACTTATTAATTTTAGTCCAAAGCACTTCAAAAATATTAAATCAGACTTAGTAAACTTAAATTAGAGAAACTTTTAATTCTATTTCTGTTTAATAACGAATCCCTTGTGTATATTATTATTTAAATATAGATGAAATCCAAAATAAATTGATATTGGGAGAGAGGGAAAAGAAAGAAATTCGTAGTTTAATGATTGAAAACAAATATAATTATGATAAGATCCAGATTTTCCCTTTTACTTTAAACATTCGCTGTACTTAGTTTAAGTGTAGCTAAAAATAAAAACTGATCATTTTTATCCTTCTATTTCAGTGGGGGATGGTCAGTAAATAATGCATGTTATAAAATAAAAAAATTCTAATATTAAAGATTTGTTTTGAAATTGTAGTTTTCCTGTTATTTTACATATGAATGAAATTATAATTTTAGAAGCATTTACTATCTATACTATTTTAGAAATACTGGGATATTCAAGCCAGTTTTAAACGCCAAGTTAATAAATGCCAAGTTGTTCGTATGATACTGAAAAGAAGGAAAACTAATATATTAAGAATATTAATAATAGTGGTAAAATTATAATCTTGTGCAGATAGTAAAATGAATTTAATAATGAAATAAAAATATAGAAAATAATTTTAAAAAAATTTTTGACTAGAAAAAAAACAATTACTTAATACTTGAAACTAAGTTTCAAGGAAGTGGGCTTAGCACTTAGTACAGCAGTCTTGAAAAAGTTTGACTTCCGTCTACGCTACGTGAAACTTACTTCCTTTAAAAAAAAATAATCATGTTTAACAACTTTTCTTCCTTTCCATTCCGCGCTTAATAAATGGTTAAATAAATTACGCATAATTTTTGTTGCTGATTCTATAATTTATATTTTCAATAAACATTTTTATACATTTTAATTAAAAATGTATAAAAAATATTATCAATTGAGTTTGAATTTAATATAAGATTGACGCAATAACAAAAATCAGCTGGTTTCTGTATCTGACTCAATGATAATAAACAATTTACTTTTAATATTTCTAAATAAAAATGGATGTTTTCTTTTATTGAAAAAAAAATTGCTCTCTGAATGTTTTATTATTTTTTTTCTTCAGTACAAGCATATGTCATGCTAATAATTTTTAATGACATCGATTTTATCATTAATGTCTTTTTATTTAAATCTTAAAATGTTTTATTTGATTTTATAGTTATCAATAACTCGCATAAACTATAATTACTAGCATGTAATTCTTATAAATTAAAATACGCAAGTTTCTGGACAATACACTGTTACACTTGGCACTATGGACATTAGTTAGTAGTGGCAGTAAAAAAAAAAAAAATTTAAAAAATTGGTTAGTAGTGGCACTTACAAAAAAAAATTAAACTTATTGTTCAAATAAATAACTAATGATTCCGTAACAATCACTACTACCAGGGTCAAAAAATTGGAAGGTCATATCTTTAAAACATGATATAATAGAATACATAATTTGGCATTATTCTCGCCAATTCTTCAAAAAAACGCCCATTCCTTCAATTCTTTACTTTTCCATTCAGAATTAACGTCAATGGTTGATCGAAAAAAATAAAATTCATGCACAAAAAATACAAAATGGGGTTTTCTCGTGCAAAAAAATAATATTCACTTTCATTTTACACCTTTTAACGATGAAATGAAAACTATTGTTTAAAAAATACATAACTTCCTTGCCAGTGTAAAACTTAAACTCTCCCATTTTCACTTTTGTATATAATTTCAGAGTGGCTACATAAGGGGGACAGTTAGGTAATTTTATCAACCTGGAAAAATTGGGGAAAAGCTCTTACAATTTTTTCCAAGGAAGAAAAAAATAATACCAAGTTCTATAAAAAAATATTCTAGTATATATTTACCATCAGAAAATATATATACCATTAATTTTTTAACCTCATTATTTATTATTTTTTTAAATTCATATAAAAATGTTATTATAATTTTCGAACTCATTTTAAAGCAAACAGATAAGTGCGAAGAGAGAGAATGCCATGTATTAAAAAATGTTGTACTATCAAAAATATTTCATCATAAAAATATCTACGCTAATCGACTACATAACACAAGTTATAATTCAAGGTTTTTTTTTATTATTATTATTTGTGGGTACTCTTAATTCACATTTATTCCAAATTGCAAATCCAAATTTTAAAAAACACCGAAAGTAATAAAAGCATATCAGAAATGTTAAATTTTTTTTATAAAATAACATAGGGACTTACCTAAATTGAGAATTCCAACAGCGCTGGAACCACACCGGAAACCAAGTAATCCGTTAGTATTCGGTTTATCCACGAAAGGCACTGACAATGATCTCCAGTCACGTGCGTTAATTTTTTTTTCTAACACTCACGAAACAGTACTTCGGAAACAAACACAATCGAACATTTCTTCCTCTCAGTTGTCCCCACTGCCAACTCAAAAGGAAATTAGCTTTTTAATGCTTACTTTTATGCTGCTTTTTTTATATGGCCATATACTCCAGCTTCGGTTGAAACAGCTGCTTATATGCATGGATTTCAGCCAAATTGCATTTATTGCTCAAGAATACTTGAATTGACGTCAATTCAAAAAACCAATCAGATGGTGCGCAAACATCCGTAAGATTTAATACCTAAATAAAGAATTCTATATAAAGGGCGTCTTTTTTCGCTTTAAAAAAATGTCTATTAAACAAAGTTTTTTAAAAAAAATCTCACTAAGTGCATCGAAACTGGTATTTTTGCACTAATTTATCTAAATTAGCTGCAAATAAAATATTTCCAGATTAGCTCTAGAACTTCCGTTTCCGCACCAAATTGCTTCAAACTTATTCCAATTCATCTTGGTTATATTCCTTCATAAGCATTTTTTCGGAAAAAAATCTGTCTCTAAAAAATCTCATTAGTTTTCTAAAAATAATATATTTCCGTTGCAAATTAATAAATTTGTGCATTTACTTTTAATTTTTATAATTCCTAAATTATTTATTTTATATTTAAAGAAAAGCTATTTATATCTAACTAAGATTCCACGTTAAGTTTGTTAACTTATTACTCCAAACGATTCTAAAAGTATATAACTGTCGCTTCAAAAACCAATGAAAATCGTTGCTTCAGTTCACTAAAACACTTAATGCCCAATCACGTCAACGTAAAAGTTGAAAGCTTTTCCGAAATTTTAACTTTCTCTCCAGAAATTCCAACTTTCGCTCCTACAATCGTCTTCGCTAACAGGTTGCAATTTCGCTCTTGATCTGCGGAATATCCAGTTAATCCTACTTTTCCAAGAGATAGGTCCTTTTAAATTTAATCTATCTTGATAATGTTATCATCTCCTTATCTGATAACAAATCCACGCGATTTCTTGGATATCGCGATTTCTCTTCTATAATTTAAATGTTAAATTTTTAATTCATTTAAAAAACCTAATGCATGAAATTAGTTGGAGATTTTAAATCGTTATTTACTACCATTGAACGAAAACCGTTCTGGTTTAAATCCATGAGACAAAAATAGTTGCTATGATAAGATGAATCCTCTTATCTCGCGGATTGCAACTACAAGGATCGAAGTCCAAGTAGAATCTGTCAACAACTTGAGGGAGAAAACGTCCAAAATTTCTGCGGTGGCCAGATAGAGATGGCGCTAGTGTCGGAGTGCTCAGGAATAATAACAGTGTATTCTCTTCGGCGGTGTGACAGTGAAATGCGAAACCAGGGATAAAGAAAAAATATTTTTATACTTTTCTCTGGTGTTTGTTATGCGCGCGTGTAAGCGCCGTGAAAAATGAAGAGAAACCTTTATTTTTCCCCTCTTTCACTTTGTGCATTTTTTCTAGTTGATTTATAGTTCGCATTTCGTGTGTCCGTGAGCCGCATAAATACATCGATGATCTATTTTTATGTAGGTTTTTATTTTTACCTTTTTTTCCCCTTTCCTGACAGACTCTGAAGTATGTGATGAGCTATAACTTCAAATGAAAAATAACATTTTTTATGAGTGCGCCGGAGTTGGGTGCCTGGAAAATAAAAATGAAAATCCGTTTTCATGAAAGTATTCTTAAAAATGAGACGGGGTAAACTTGCGTAACTTTTTTTTTTATCACTATTACGACGTTCATTTTTAATACCGCTTTATTTTCGCCCCTTTTCCGTTTTACGTAATTCAAATTTTTATTTACGTTAACATACTTTGTTTATATTTTTTTTTTTTTTAAATTTAAACACCTTTTAGTTTGTGACTTTGTTTCTAAAAGAATTGCTCATTTTTTAAAAACAGTAAAATATAGTTGTTTCGATGTATTTCTGGGGTATTAGTCTAATAAACGTTCAGGAAATTCATTTTAAATGTTCGTTTAGATCTCAAATAACTTGTATACGACTACAAAGTACATAAAAACAACTTAATACATAAAAGATATAGACAGTGATGTAGAAATTTTGCTGAGAAATAAGAAATGTGATAAAGGAAAAAATTATAGGTCTAAATATTATATTGATTTTTTTTATTCACTTTCATCAAAATTAACGCAAAAGAAAAGGCTATTTTTAAAAAAATAACTTTATTTATTCTGTATTTTTTTAATTTAGAAACAATTAGAATCTTTTCATGTAAGAGCTCGATTAAAATTAGGGATCAGAGTTGAAGAAAAGTGCTTAACTCCTCATTAGTTATAAAAAGTCAAAAGAAAAAAAATATTTGAACTTGCGAAAATTGTTTTGAAAAGTATTAAATATTACGGATTATTATAAAAATTTTATCACAAAATTAATTTATTAAATTAATTACAAAATTTGCTGTGTTATAAATAAAAAGCCATATTAAATAAAATGCCTTTAATTTTAATTGTGCATGGGAAAAAATAGAATTTTATAATTTGGAACTTAGTAATGATATTATTTATTAGAATTCGATGAAAGTTTTAATGGAACATAAATCAAGGTCAGACTATCAGAAAAAGGAAATATATCAATAACCGACTCCTTAGCTCGGATTTAAAACAATTAGACGAAACTCGCTACGGTAAAATTGGCCGATTTCAAAAAGAGCGGTAACGTTTTTTTTAATGAGCTCGGTTTTAGTTTGCTTCTTTCCTCCAAAAAATCATTAGAAAATCTTTTTTAAAGCTATGTTTTATACTGCTTTAATGATCTTTACTCAATTTCAAGGAATAAGATCTCTCTGTTTATTTGTTGAGACAAAAGCAAGCTGTGTTTATTGTGCAGCATAAAGCTTCCATTTAATAATTCCAATCACTGGAGAATAGGCTGTTCTTTGCGCATTTTATTTGATACACCATCATACCACGAAGCACTGTTCCATATCTCATTCCATCCATTAATTGACAGAGTGGTTTCGTCATCCTTTACTGCTAGGTTTTAAAATTCGGAAATAAGGAGGCTGTTATTGTACCAGGTTGTCTCATTCCATTAATGGACACTTTGGGGTGTTCGGGGGGGGGATGGGGGAGAGATTGCGAATAATTACGGGCCTCGAGAATTTGTTTCTGAAAGCGGAAAGGCATCTCGAATTTCCCACCTCCTGAGATTAATGATGTTTTCCCTCATCGCCAAGAGATGTAAAGTGCTGTCAGGGTTATTTTCCCTAAACGCCAGGAAGGAAAGGGCTGAGAGTTGTTATTTAATTATATGAGGTGTGTATTTAGCTTTCAAAAGTTCTGCCGCAGCAGGACAAGTGCGCTATGATTTTTGCGCACCACTGGAGGTGGTGTTGCAAAAGTTGTGCGTCGTTTTACATTTCTGGCGCTTTTCTTGGCTGCGATCATGGGTAATTTATTCTGACCCAAAGGGATTTTTTTTTCTTTTATAAATATTGAAAATGTTATAGAACGACCTAATACGTGAGTTGAGTAATTAACTTGATAAATGGTGCTGAGATGTAGATTATGTGAATATTTTGTTAATCTATCGTTTTATAATGTATACGTTTTGCATTTTTAAATTAAAAACGCTGTACTAGTTTTATGGCTTTGAAAAGTAATTTTAGCGGTGTTGAGTTATTTTTCTTTTATTTTATTGAAATCTCTCCTTAACTGCATGTTGACGAACAATATTTTAATGTTTATTTATTTTTGGTACTTAAAACCCATCCATTTCAGTGATCGTTATTAACCTTTTAAGATGACTATAAATCAAGTTCCTTCTTAAAAAAAATGAACAAAATATTGTACTGGCTGGAAATATGTTTATTATATTATGGAGTTAGAAGATGTATTCTAGTACCCGCTTTCTTCAAAGAAATTGTGGGGCTGTTTATTAACTAATGCTGCAAATTACGCATTTTACACTAATATATCAAGCTTTAGACAATACAATGTTTTATTCTCGTTGTAAATTTCAAATAAAACATTCCGATTATTTACTTACGTAAGTGTTTTTATCTCAAGAATAGGACATCCTTTAATTCCTTCCTAATAGAGAAGGTAACTTTAAACACAAAGCGAAAAAAGTCGCATGTATGCTCACTCTATTTTTTTAATCTAATGTAAAAAATATTATTTTTCGGAAAATATGGTATAATATTTAAACTTTAAAAACAAAGTTTAATAAATTAAAAATAGTATAATTTTGATCGAAAGTAGAAACGAGAAACGTATGATACATCACTTGCTAGCAAACTTAAAGACGCAATGAGGATCTACGATTTTCGTTTTACGTCTGGCAAAAATAAAATTTTCCATTTAATCCACTTAAAAAAGTGTAGTAGTTAAATTTTTGATTCATTTTATTATTTTCTTCATTTTAGTTTTTTTTTTCTTCTGTTTCTTACTATGTATAAAAATATAATGATGGTGTCGCAGTTTTCCATTGTTGCCAATACATTTTTATTGGCTGGAAAATCACATGGTAGGATCCAGTTTTCCCATATTAATTTTCAAAATGGTTTGGTTGTCTTCAGCATAAAATTGATATAAGTTATCGTTTTCGTATAAATATTTTTGCTTCCCTAATTTAAAGGTTAAAATTACCTGTACTGTTATTATTACGTTTTCGATTTTATTTGGTTTCTAGATTAAGAGTTTATGAAGACTGTTTATATCATTATTATTATTAGAATGATGTAATTCTACGTTACATATTAAGAAAAAGTTATATCAGTGTCTGATCTTATTAACCATTTTACAATTATTTTTTGGTTCAAATTACATTTTAATTTATTATGAATTACGGTTAGAGATTCGTTAAATGATTTAGATTCAGCTTTTCATGCACAGAGTGATAAATGCAAAAATTGTATTTCAAATGCATTCGTCCGTTTGTTATAACAATATACTTGTTTTTTTTTTTTGTTTTTTTTGTTTTTTCAAAAAATGATTACTTAGAAAAATAATTTATGTTTACTTAATAGTATAAGGGAAATATTTAGACGTGGAGGCCCAAGTATTCTTTTTGAAACATATATTTTTAGTTGAATAATTTCAAATGTTTTATGCCAAAAAAACAGCAATTATTGCTAAGTAATCATCGGGGTTGGTGACAGGGGATTTAGCCCCCTACTGTTTATATAAATAAAGAAAATTGCTTGTGAGTGTTTGCCCAACTCGTAAGCTAAGTACGATGCTACTTTTGATAATAAATTTATCTAAGAAATTGCTAAAAATTGTCTTTCAGCAGTCAAAATGAGATTGTAGCGTGTATCTTAAAGTTTAGACCTCCAGTTGCTACTGGAGCACTCTGGCTAGTCTGATTAGGAAATAGTCAACTTTTTTGACTAAGGATTAAGTTCCTTTAGCAATGGGTTATACTTGTCAGGAGACAAGGTTAGTTCAAGAAACGATTAAAACTTGGTAATATCGTTAGACACGGGCCTTTTAATTCAGATTTTCTTGTTAGTTGGATTGCTATGGAAATTTTGATTGGCGATAAATTTTGTTTGTAGTTGTCAAGAAATGAGAATTGCTTTGTCATCTAGCACACAGCTCCAGCTGAAGTTTAAGCATAGTAGTTTGTTGGAAAATCGTTTAAGTTTAAATTAGCTATTATAAATTTTGCTTGTAGAGATCAGGAAACGATTGAAACTTACATTATCATTAGGAACTAAGCTCCAGTTGTCAGAAAGTATCGAAATTTCAAATGCAGGATTCCGCCTTCACAGAATAAAAGCTAGTTAATCGTTAATAAAAACGATTTTTTTTTTAAACTTTTTTAATTTTTGGATCCTCTTTTATCGGCAAAAATGAGCAAATCACAGACCACTTAAATAACCCGCAATATACCCCTCTTGTTTTTCGCTTTAACATTTATTGCAGTAATCTAATTTTAGGATTAAATTGAAATATACCATGCTACTTCTACACGAAATAAAATTTACGTTTTCATTCATTCTATAAAATTTTGATTAGAATATTCTTTAGGAATCTTTTGTGTTTGAACACTTTGATATAACAATTCTCTAACTCTCTTTCGCAAAATTGAAAATAAGGCGTTTTTAATGTCTTGCGTAGACATCGCTAATACATCTCCTCACCCTTATTAGCAAAAATAAGCAAATAACAGACCCTTCTCCCCGTTATGTGCTTATGTAATATTTAAACAGCCCCTTAGACAAGTGCATTCTGTATTAATCAAAAGTTTTTAATTGTCATTAAATTAAAAATTAAAACTATTTTTTAAAAAAAGTACTCCTAAATAAATATTTTCTTTGCGCTTAATGTTTTAGAATAATAAATACGAATTTCTGTTTTTCTACTCTATCGTTTCCTTAGTAACAAGTTAAAAATTAGTATTCAAATAAGGAGACACAGTGATGGGAATATATTTTTCCATTTCCTACCTTGTTATTTGTTTAATCTTGTTTCTGGGCTTTATCACGCTCGACTGTTTTTTAAGTTACTTTGTATAGCTCGAAATAAAAGTGGCTACTTTTCTAGCTGTTAGAAGTAAAATAGCACACACTTCAGTCATTATAACGTGATCTGTATTTCAAACCACGCTCGTAAAAATCTGAAAGGCGGTGAATTAAGCTTGTAATAACAGAAACACCGTTAAATTGAAAAATTGAATTTCTATAAAATTTTAAACGCGTAGTCTGAATTACACTACTGGTGTCCAAAAGTTAAGCATGATTTTTCACGTTTACGAATTGTGCACAACGATTGGGCTTATGTATAGAAATGTATATTTTAAATAAAAGCGAGTATCTAGCTGTTGCGAAAGCCGTTACTTAAAAGTTCGAAAAATAATAATTTTAAAAAAACTGAAATTAATGGGTCATAAAATTGGAGGCATATTTTAATTATTAAATTATTTTCCGGTTTGAATTTTATTAATGTTTATTTTTGTTTTGCTTTTCAAGCAATAGCATCGCAATGAATTGCGTGATTATAAAAACGAGAATTACTGCAAAAGAAAATTTTCATCTGTTTTACTAAAGTTTAGAAAAAGCTAGTTTTGACAAACCTAGAGTAAGACATGAACTTTCAAATATTGCAAAGAAATTTTTGAAATATCAAAAGGAAAGTAAATTATGAGAGGATATCTTAGGATTACGCAATGGAGAAGATCTCTTCCAATAATTTGTTTGTATTTTGAAATTTTTTATTCAGTAGTTGAAACTTCGTGGCTTACTCTAGGTGTGCCTTAACTCACTTTTTCTGTATTTTCAATACAGAAAAAGTGAGAAATGGTCTGTATTTCTCACTTTTTCAATTGGTGGTGAAAGAGAATTAGCGATAAAAAGTTTCTCCATAGTATAGCGTCCTCTTAAAAATTGTCCTCTTTGTTCATCAATTAGAAAATTGTATTAAAAAACGTTTGACGATTATGCGCCAGTGGCGCAGCTAGAGCGAGAGGGGGAAGGACATCTGACCCCTGGGGGCCAGTCTCTGAGAGGCACCAAATTAAGAATAATTTTTTAATAAAATGCCTTTTTCTTCTAAGTATCTCCAAGTTTCATTTGCTAATTGTGGGACCTTATAATTTATTCCAACTCTTATTCGTTATACTTAAAAATTGAACTGAATGCCTATTAGTATTGTAATTTGTTTTGCTTGTAGGTTTTTATTATCATTTTTTTTAACTACATTAGCATAGCACATAGCTTCCAACTCTACTGGTTTACAAGTAGACTACTGATTTTGCCAGTTGCTCCTGGTCTACTGGTTTAATAAAAATTCTCCTGGTTTTTGTTCATTTTAAAAAACTACATAAAATTGATTGAAACCAATAAATTCTTTATATTTAAATTCAGTATTCCTATGTGTGTTATTTCATTCAATACTTTGACAGGAGTGTAAATAATTTTTTTTTCTTCCCAATTTTAATCCAGCGTGTGAAATAAAAACATATTGTGTGCAAATAAAGGTGATATTTTGAGCAAAAAGCAGAGAGAACAAATCAAAATTTTCAATAAGATCTGAAATATAATAATATTCTTACTGTTACAACTGAAATTGAACACTGGTAAAGTTATCTGATGTTTTATTTTCTGATTCTCTATTAGGATGCTTTGCAATTAGGTTTAAATTTATCTATTTTTTTATTTGTTATTTAATTAGTTATAAATGTAAAACTTTATCATTGTTCTTTTTTTTCTTATTATTTTTAGAGCTTTATGGGTGGTCCTAGGTATCCTGGTGGACCTAGAGGACCAGGAGTAAGAATGCCCCAACAAGTAGAATTTAATGTAAGTGCCTATCACGTTCTTTTACTATCTTTATTAACAACATATGTAGATAATGTTTAGAACAAGAGACGTACTCTGCCTATTTCAAATTAGTGAATAAGTCTTGCATATTTACAAATTTGTTTATTAATTAATTAATTAATTTACTTTATTATTTAAATGTTGCGAAAATAAAATTTAAGCTTAAAAAGTGTCACTACTTTCTCAAATTTACAAATTATAAGGATGAGAAAAGTAAATACAACACATCTAAAAATAACATGGAAAAATCAAAGAATTAACTTTGTTATACCAATATTAAGTACCAATGATAATACTAATTAGTTTTATACATATTTTGTGTTCAAACAAAAAAATTTCAAGGGAAAATAAAATACTGATATAGTACCCGAAATACTTCATACTATAAATCTACTACACTCTTTAAAGTGCTAATTTTAGATAAAGTAATGTAATAGTTCGAATATTTTGCAATTTAAATTTGATGAGAACGTCAATTTCACTAAGATAGTGCTTAATGAAATTATTTTTTTCGTTTCACTCTCGAAATGAGAATCATCATTGGTTTAATAGTCAAAAATATTAATAGAGGTTATTTATTTTTAGCGTTAAAAAAATTTCATGTTCTTTAAAAAATAAATGGCGAAATATATATTCTGGCGTAATTTTTTTTTTTAAAAGTAATTACTGATAATTTTTTAAGGCAAAATGAAACTACATAGCATCCAAATGAGTCCAATCGTGGTGCGGCGGGGGAAACTGCGTAGACTACGGAAACTGCGGAGGGGGAAAAAATACTTTAAAAATGTGAGCAAATTACAGTTAACTCAAATTAGTGGGAAATAAAGTGATCTATAAAGCCTAGGTATTAAGGGTTTTAGAACGGTGTAAGCTATAAGTATGCGGTAAAGAAATGTTGGGGTGGGAGGTTTGTCCTTTTAATAAAAATACGAATGACAGTAGCAATAACTGCTTCTGAAAGGGGAAAATTAGGCTGCAGCATTTCTGAACAGAGTGGCAACTACAAGGACCCTTTTTGACTTCTGGTGCGTGGGAAAAAAATAATAATAAAAAAGAGAAAGAATATGTCATTGATAAAATATATATGTATTTTGCTTTTTTAAAAAATATGTGTATGTAAATAAATAAAAGAGAAAGAATTTATGTTAGATCGATATTTCGGAAAATGGAAAACTATTCTCAGCCAAGAAAATAAAGTGATACTTTATATAAAGGACATTAAATTAGAAATCATTTTAGTGTTTTTATTTGTATTTTTCATTTACTTATATTTATATATATTTTCAATATTAGTAATTAATATTTTAACTTCAAGATTTTCAAGATCTTTGTTTAGAAAAGTTAATCTGATCTACACTTGTACTCGCAAAAAACACTGTACGGTGTTTAAAAAAAAAGTTTTCCTCTGAGAATATTGCTTTATCAAGTGTCGAGAGAAAATATGGTATTGGAAGAAAAAAAATCGAGATTTTTATTAAACTTTTCTCAGTTGCCTTACAACGTAAGGAAATATAATAAAAATTTCCACCTAACACCGGAAAGTGTTCCCATGTCAATTATTGTCGAACTTTTACTCCTTTACATATAATGGGAATACTTAAATTAATGCTTTTTATTTTAATCAGTGATTAAAAGCTAATACAACTCAAAAATAAATGTGTTGATGTCGAATCAGAAACAGCAGGCCAAATAAACACATTTTTCAAGAAATTAAATGAATCTAAGAAAGGTCACATTGGTTTCGTCTTTTTATTAAGGTCCCATTTTGAGTTTTAAAGCGAAAACTAATGGTTAAAAAATTATTTAAATCCAAATCATTCTTTTAAGTTGAATAATTAGATATATGAATAACATCAATTATGCAAGGGAAGCTTTTCATTATTGTAATTTATGCTATAAAAACCATTAACTAAGGCTATTTTCTACATCATGACACGATGCAGACTTCAGCATGCATTAAACATCTGTTAATCTTCGCGCATCCCAACCCTTTTTTTTTTTTTTAAACCAGTTATGGTTTCTCGTTTTCTTTATTATAATCATAATTTATGTTGGGCAGCTGCAAAAAATCTTAATATAAAGTTTGAGCATTAAAGCTAAGGAAGAGGGATTTCACCCTTTCTCTGCCTTTAACTTTTTACAAACTTGTTTAAATCTAAACCATCTGTATAAGTTTTAATTTGTAAGACCAGTAAAATAAGAATCTGCAGTTTCGTGTCAGTACTATTTATTATTCGTTTAATTTATGTTTATTTCAATTTATAAACAAAGACAAGACAAGCCCGCGTGACAATGGGGCATACAGAGTATTATTATTTTAGTTACTTTTCTGAAAGTAGTATTAAACTTTTTTTTTTTCGCTTTTTAGTTTTTCTTTCTTTATTTGAATGGAACAGTTGACGAATTATATTAGAATTTAAATATAATGTGATCTTTTTTTCAACCTTTAAAAATCTAAACCGTCTGTAAAAGTTTTAATTTGAAAATCCACCAAGTAAGCATCTGCCGTTTTTTGTCACTGCTATTTACTGTTTTTTTCCAACTAGGTTTACTTAATAGTTAACGAAGGCAAAGCTATCGTAAGGATGTTGCCAACGAGGCAATATTATTTTTATCCCTCAAAATATAAAACTTTTTTAAATAAAATATAACTTTTATTTGCTTGGAACATTTAACAAATTATATTCCTTATTGGAACTTAATGTGAATATTTCGCTTCCAAACTCACACATTCTCAGTAACCAACTTTTTCTGCGCTATAAAAACCCCAAGATAGCGTAAATTTCAGTGATGTGACTTGAATTCAATCTTACGGAACCAGTAACCCTTGTCAACAGGTGCATATTGATCCAGTGTTAAATGGGGCTCAAAATTAGCCCTAAGATTTCTTATTTATAAACATCCTATGTTTAATTCAGCCGACAAAAAGTTCGGATTCTTGCCTGTAAAATAAGCAGACTTTTTCGACAGTAATAACTAATTATTAATTAATAAAAATAATTAGTTTTGTCAACTGGGGTTTGTAAATTGGCAAATTATCAAACAGATATAATAAGGTTTAGTAGTGATTAAAAACATTAGAGAAAGTCATTTTCTATGCAATCAGAGAAATGCCGATCTCTGTAGTGTACTGCAGGATAAGAATTTAATGAAAACAAATTCGATAACTTTAAAATACATGGGGGAAAAAATTATTTTTTCTTTCGTATATGTTTTCGTTTTCTGTTCTTTAGGCACCAGGAAGTGTTCCTGGACAACCTATGATGCCTAGTGGTATGGATCCCTCCAGGCAAGGTAGAGTAATTTTTTTATTAATTTTCAGCTTATTAAATTATCTCTTAGATTTCTTTAAAAAAGAAACTAACCATTAATTATTTCGATTTATGAACTTTGAATGACAAAATGTAAGCATTTTAAATAAAAATTTCAGTTTATAAATTCATAGAAATTGAAATGAGAAGTTGAAAAAATATGGAGTGAAAACACAAATATTTGTTTGGACCGAAGGAGCAAAAATGTTTAAAGAAAAATTTATTTTGTAAAATTTTGGTACGGAAGGGTTAAAAAAATAGTCGCCAAAACAGCAGTAAACACACGTTATTCCAAACATTTGTCACCAAGCTACCCTTTGCTATAACCATCTCAAATCCCGTATTCTAATCAGTGGTCTTCTCAGTTCCAGGAAAAAGATATTACACTAGTATCTCCACGATGCTGCTAGCCATTTTAATTTTCGCTTTCTTACAGATAGTAATATTCGAGCTTCCGCTTCGGCACGTTTCTCTATCTCCGTTGGGGGTAGAATCCATAAAGAGGAAAGATTCATCTACTTGATGGCATTGCCACTGCTGCTGCAGTGACCCAATGTGAAGCTGTTTTCATGAAAAGATAGAGAGAAAACTCCCCTTAGTCGGAAACTATCAAATGGCGAAATGCTTTCCGTAACGGGTTATTACACCCCTGAACGTAGAAATGAAACCATTATCTCAAATGTCTTCCAAGAGGTTTCGGTTTTGCTGTTTAGTCCCCTCCCTTTCCACCCACTCTTATGCGCACTTCGGCATACAAGTTTTTACTTGTGGAGATTGCCTGAGTGAGTTTATAGCGTGTGTGGATCTAGTTTCGTTTTCACCATCATCAAAGAAAAAACATTGGATTTTAATTATTGTTTCAGTAATTGATCAAATTTTTTTCGCGCTATGATTTCGATGCAAGAAGTTTCGTTTAACTTTTTTTTTTACTTTTTTAGTTTGTTATAGTTACTAAGTGTATTAGTATAAAAAAAATAAGTGAGGAACTGTTGCGGGCAATATAACAATGATAAGCCACATTTTTCCTACGCTAACTTTCATAGATCAAACTGCTCGTTAAAATATATATCCAGACAAGTACGTTCACGTTTACGGAAGTCCAACTGAATAAAAATAGGATGCACAATAACATCTTGTTGCCTACATGAGAAATGTGTTTTTCTACATCAAAGTAACCATTTGAATAATTGTTTTTCTAGGTTATGACTGCGCAGATTTATATGATTATCTCAAATGACATTCTATAGAACAACTTCTTTCAATTAACGCACTGCGCGTTCAACGAGGTTAAAAAATTTTTTTAAAGAGGAACGTAAAAAAAAAAAATTAAAATAAAGAACTAGCTATCCCCCCCTCCAACAGGAATTTTTTTGGGATGCAGTAAAAACATCGCAAATAATGTAAAATATATCGATTAAAAAATACTTCTTGTTTATTGTTCTATTCAAAGTGAAGACGAATTGATCAAATCAGATTTTTAAATAATATTACTGATGTTCCTATTGCGATCTTGAATTGTAAATAAATTAAAACAAGCTACTGTATAGTAGCTTTTTTATTTATTTTTCGATCTGATCGCGTGTGGTATTTACTATTTTTTACTAGCATTTAGTTTACATGTTTAAATACTTTGATATTTATCTTATCATGTACCCTTTTGTTTGCTAATATTACTTTTTTTTGACAATCCCCCTATATTGTATAACACCAAGATTGCTGTAAATGTAATATTTTAAATTATTTTAATTTGTTGATTTTTTTTAAATATAGTTTTCATGAAACAACTGATAAATTCTTTAATCACTGACAGGAACTTTGATTAGGAGTTAAAATATATTGCTTAGAAGGAAAAAAAAATTCAATAACAATGAGTAAATTCTAAACTTGAGTAAAAATTAAATAAAAGAATTTTATATACCTGAAGCAAATTAATAATTCTCTGTAAAGTATTTGCAATACATTTTACATCCCCTGTGAAAAGAAAAGGGGAATTTTCCCTGCTAACCTGTTCAGCCATATTTAAGCATTTCATGGTAGTACAACTTATTGCCCCTTATTTGTATAAGTAGAGAGGGGGAAACTAAAAAAAGGATTTTAAAAAAAAGAAGAAGAAATCAAATCACAGTAGAGAAATGATGTGCACCATAAATTTTTCCATTATCTTTTTTTTTTTTTTTTTTTTTTTTTTTTTTTTTTTTTTTTTTTTTTTTTTTTTTTTTTTTNAATTGTAATATTATTACTTGTTTATTTCTTAACAAACTGGCAATGAATGTATAGAATAAAGTATAACTCTGACTGGATCTAAGGATCACATCTCTTCTAAGATTTTTTTTTAAATTTATTTATTGATAGTATAACTTACAAACAAACAAAAATCAGAATATATACTGTTTTTTTTTTTTTTTTTTTTTTTTTTTTTTTTTTTTTTTTTTTTTTTTTTTTTTTTTTTTTTTTCCTCCTTCCCCTTTTGCCTTGCTTATTTGTATTGTTGTTTTGTTTACATTTAATGTTTCTTCTAACTTTTAATACCTATCTAAAATAACAAGGAATCTTACTGATGCTTTCACTAACTTATAAGCTAATTTTGTGTTTACTAACTTCTAGAACTAATATATATATATATACATAGCTGCCAATTCTACTGGATTTTATTAGTTTCCCCTGGTCTTCTGGTTTCATAAAAGATCTCCTGGTTTTTGAAAATATTTAAACAAAAATCCTAATTGAAATAAAAATTTTACACAATTCATTGCTTGCTTGAATATTTAAATAAATATTACTAATACACAATGAAGCAAGCCTTAATTATAGTAAGCAGTTAAAAGCTTTTCTTTCTTCCTTTTTTCTTCTTCTGAAATTTTCAGATTACTTCAATTCAGAACTCCCTTTTTAAATTACTTAAAACTCAATCAGGAATAAATTACTTGCCCATTAATCTTCAAAATTATGGGTTAACATAATGATAAAAAAGCATTAATACAAGTTTATTTAATGTCAATCAAAAATGAAAATATTACAGATCATTTATAGTTATTATTAAAATAAAGCTTTTCGATTTTGTTGAAAATGAAGATCCCTAAAATTCCCTATTTGTAAAATATTTAGTATATTATGCAACAGTTATGAAATTTATTATTTCTTTAAGTCTAATAAATTTTTTCTTATCCATGTTAGCAGCTATGTATATATATGTTTAAAAAAAAAACCATTATTAATCTTCCATTTATAACTTATTTATTCTAATTTTCTTGTCAATAACTATCATTGAATTTTCAAATAATTCACTTGTACTAACTAATGAACACCTTTCCTTTTTGTCTAGTGCATGCTTGTTGCTGTATCTAACATAACATTTACATGTTTTAATTTTAGGTGAAAGTGGGGAGTTCGTATCATGGCAAGGTAAGGATAATGTGATGTTGTAATTTTTAAAGCTGCACTAATAGTCATGGTCAAAATGAGATTAAAATTCTTTTCCTTGCCAAGCAATTTAATTTAAAATCACAAAAATCAATTTAATGTTTAAAATAAATTAATGTTTTTGTTGATGTTTATATCTCTAAAACTGAAAATTGAGAATTCGAAAAGGTGGAGTGAAATTTTTCCTGCTGTTACTGCAGTCTTCTATGAATTGTAATTGGCTGTAATGTTTTTTTTTTTTTTTTTTTTTTTTTTAAGTCAAATTATAATATTTTTTTTTCTTAAAATTTCCTCATTTGGGTATTTTTAATTTGAGCTAATTATTAATGATAAAAATATTTATTGTGGATTGATAATTAATTTGTGTTGTTGATTTATAAATCCATTATTAATTAGATAATTTTGAACATTTTTTGCTGAATTTTCTCCAAATTGTGACTGCATAATTGTTGAACAATTGCTTGAAAATTACATTCATTGCCAATTTTATAACAAGCTTTATTTACTGTTTGCTGCAATAACTCAAATTGGTGAGATCCAAAAGTGACAATTAATTAAAAAATTATTTTTAAGGTGTTTCTTACAACATAAATTTTAAATGCTTTTTCTGAGATGCATAATTCAAAGTAATTTAATTAACAAATGGCCAGAACAACTGAAGCATAATTTTCAGAATTGCTTGAAATTGATTATTATTTCAATTAAATGTGCATAGTTTCTTCTCGACTGAAACTAATATGGAAAATATATGCTGTGCTGCAATTAAAATTACAGTGGTGCTTCTTTGTGGAGGGGGGGGTTAAACTGCCCTTTTGTCACTTGAGTTTTCATGTTCATGTGTTTCGATCCTAAAGATCGAATCAAAATCTTTTTTCTATTTATTGTTAAAGTTTAAAAGAGATTGAAGATTTCAATATTTGAAGGAGAAAAAAATCCTTTTTTAAGTTAAAAGTTACTTTTACTTATGCAAAAACTAAATTTTTTTTACATTTTTTTTTACTAAAATTTTTTCTAGTTGAAGTTCTGTTAAAAATATGAAGTACATAGAAACAAAATGTCATCTGCTCCAATTATTTCTAAGCTAAATTTTTGTCGGAAATTTAAAACATTTTATTTCGTTTTATTTTACAAAAGCGCATTTTTAATGTATATATATTTTAAAATTACTAAATAATGCTCTTAATTAATGTATGCATTAAAAAGCATTTACCATACAGAAAAACATGGATTTACTTTGGTGTCAGGATAAAAACAAGTTAATCCAACTGTTGTGCATTTTAACAAATATTTTTTATAACATCACAAGAAATATTTTTGAAATATTTATCTTCATTTTTTTTATTATTAAGCAAATATGTAATACAAAAATAATATTGTAATTTTTTAAAAATCTGTTTAAGTAATACATGCCACTTAAATATTTATTTTACTTAACTTAGGCATTTATTAAACTAGTTCAGTGGAATTATGACTAGCATTTTTCTAAATCATTCATTATCTTAACCTACTTTATTTAAATCATTTGATAAAATTTTCTAGAAAACAATATACAAATAATAAATCTTTTTTTATTCAGGTCCATCTGGAATGAATCCTATGAACCCACGTATGAATCCTCCTAGGGGTCAACCAATGGGCCCTATGAATCCTGGTGTAAGTATTGTTTGTTATTTTGTCCTTCAAGAGAAAAAGTATCAATATCAGGATGTATTGATGTGATCTTGACACTTTTAATGCAGCCAAATTTACTGCTTCATACACTAAATATTTTGAGCCAGATCTGTCATTATGAAGATCTGGGGTTCGATATCCAGTGACAGACCTGCCAACTCTCCTGCTTTTAGCAGGAGTCTCCTGCTTTTGCCTCAAATCTTCGCCCTCAGGCCTTCAGGGTTTTTTCTCCTGCTTTTTTCTATTTAGTGCACGATAGAGGAGAAAAAAAAACAATTTGCAATTTCCTTCCCAACTTGTGCTTCAGAACATTCTGGGCATTTATTTAGAAAATTTTTCCCCGATAGCAACATCGCTAAAAATTATGGTGTGCACGAACCAAAACAACAACAACAACCAATGAATTGGCAAAATCGGAGAGGAAATATATTTTGGATACCATTAGGCAAAATGTTTTTTCACTTTCTATAGATGGCAGTTTTTTTTTTTTTTTTTAAATAATGCTAAATCAGCAACATCTGCAGTTTTAAAACAGTAGCAGTTTAAAAAAAAAGAAAAAAGAGATGCATTTATAAAGTATTGTATTCATTATTGAAATATTTTATTAATTTTGAACCTCTTCCTAAATTTTAAAAAATCAAAACATGTGCTTTAATATAATTCTATAGAACCTTATATTTTATAGTAAGAACACATATCTTTATTAGTCAGTGTCAGAATCTTATTGTGGTCTATTTTATGTAATGTAAATACAGTGGAACCTGTGAAAGTGACCACCTGGGTAAAGTAAAGGCCTGAGTAAGGTGACCATTTTCTACAAGTTTTATTTCAAGGGTCCTTTTTAAAGAGCCTTCGTAAAGTGACCACCTCTATATAGTGACCATTTGACTTGGTCCCGAGGGTGGTCAATTTAGACAGGTTCCACTGTAATATATTTTGAAATAAATTTCTTGTAGGAAATGTGAAGCAGGTTTAATTTTCAATATTGCGCAATGTCGTGATACAGAGTCTCCTGCTTTTTTATTTTCTAAGGTTGGCAGGTCTGCAGTGATGATTTGATGTCTACCCATATGCAGATCAATGGACATCAGCTTGTCTGGAAATCAAAGCAGTCAATGTAAAATGTTGACCATTCATACTGCCATGCTATTGGTGTCGAAATTGTGGACTTGTAAACTCCAAAAAACCCAGTTGGCTTACAACTGGCTGTTGCAAGATCGTTTAATTTCAATTATTTAATTGTCCAATAAAATCTCTAAGCTATTTGAATGTAATATCCTAATTTAGGTTTCTTTTTTTCCTTCTAAAAAATCACATCAAAATAAATATTCAACATTTTAGCGCTAGCAAAAATCACTGCTCTTAAGATGTGATTGCTGCAAATAATTCAGGAAAATTAAAACCTCTATTCAACTATTTATTGTTGTTACTACTTAATAAACTTAAAAGATCTTGAATTTCTTTTAAATAAAGAGTATATCATTACCTCACACATCAATAATGATGAATCTTTTTCTTATAGTATATTTCTTACTTTACCAACTTGCCAAGCAATTTCCTACCAAAAAGGATGAAATTTAGACGCACACACCTGTCAAAATAAAACTAGTTAACTAAAAAACTTAATGTAAATTTTTATGTTTTTGCACACAGTCGAATATTTTATCTTAAAAACAGTCGAAATATTTTATCCTAATTTTCTCTATGTGCTGATAAAATCCATTTGCTAGCACGAATGTTCTTGTATTATGTGTAGTGTCAAATCCAAAGTATCAGAATATTTCTGCCAGGGGCACCTAGTTTAATAATAAATTGTCTTGTCTACAGTTCAATGAAAAGTGATCATCCACTTATGTTCTTTTTCTACTTTTGAGATATATATTTGATTTAACTTCACATATTTCAATTTTTAAATTGTGTAGATCAGCATGCACGTTGATTTATTCATCTCCCCTCTTTTCTCTTGTTGTTGCATTAGAACTTCTTTTAAAAGGATCATTCTTTTAGTTTTTAAAATGTAATATAATTAAACAGACAATTGTAATACATTTGCGCATAAATAGGATTATTTTAAAATAATTTATTTGGTGTATAAAATTATTTATTTGCTTTTCTAGAATTATGGCGGTATGAGGCCTCCTAGTGGTGCCATGGGTCCCACTGGACCACAGATGTCACCTATGTCCATGTGAGTTACAAATATATAATTTTTTGATTGATCTAAGTGCATTTATTTCTTCTTATTGGTATTTTGATCTTGATAGTTATTAAGGCAGCTTGGCCACTTTCTTTGTAAACAGTAAAAAAAATTTAAAAAAATCTGGAATTCTTATGATATTAGCTATATACGGATCTAACACAACCTTACTGCAAACAGTATTTTAATTTATTAAGCATTGCATCCTGTTTTAAAGAATTATAATAATAATCTTATTGCAAACTGTCTTAAAACTTGCCTGGTGGGATTATCATTTGTTTTTCTTTTCATCAATGCTATTTTAAAAAATACTTAATGGTTTGCTATTTAAAAAAATAAAAAATTTAGATTATAAGCCTTTTTGAAAATTAACTCATATCTAGAGTTTCTTTTAAAATTTGTAACCAATTTATTATATAGAGATTTTTTGTTTAGCATCATGAAATGTGAATATGAAAAAATGAGTAATTTTTAGTGGTAAAAGTTTACTCAAAATTTTAAGAAAATTTCTTAGTTTTTATTTATAAATTCTTAATAAACACAGATATACATATTTATGAATACTGTATATACAATTATATAAATAAATCCCCTGTTTTTGATTCTGAGATAGCAAATTTCTGGTATTTTGGGTGTATACACCGATTGCTGAAACCGAAAATAAAATTTCTTTTAAAAAAATTTAAGTCTGCAAAATTTTTTTTAGTTAAAAGTATTTCATATTGTTCTCTTTGGATATGAGACATTTGTTCTCAAAAAGGGGTAAACTGATACAAGCTTGTTTATATCTATCTCTATTTTAATATTACATCGGTATTTGTCGATCAACAAATGGCCGACTTTATTGTTATGAGAGATTGTATATGTTGACTCCCTGATTTACGTATAATTATGGGGGTTTGAAAAGGTGACTTATACACAGAGATGCGGTATTTTAAACCTTGAAAGTCGTCGGAGCTTTTCATATTTTAATTTGAAAATCTCAGGGAGCTGTCTCTAGAGTCCTGAATAGTTAAGACTATACACTTTTGTAATATAGTTAAGACTATACACTTTTGTAATATAGTTAAGACTATACACTTTTGTAAACGTTTATAAAAAGCTATATTGATATTAATTATTTCATTTATTTATAGGCCTGGTCCTGGAGGTAGACCTTGGAATCCAAATACATCTTCTGTAAGCATATATGATTTTAGTATCAAATATATATTTAAAGAATTAGTATCTATCATTTTCATTATATGTTCTATTTTTGGAAATGTGGATTTCTGTTGCAACATTTTCTCTTTGAAACCTGTTATAACTATTTTTATCGTCTTAGAAAAAACAATTCCTGTCTTCATTATTCATTTGATTTAATATGATAAATCTTAATTACAATTTTATAAATGTGATAGTGTGTACCTGAGGGACCATCCACTAATTGCATCAAGTAATTTAGATTTTTTACTATAGTCTGATTTTCCTGATAAAATTTTAAATTTTCTTTGACTACTTTAAAAAGAACGAAAGAAACACAATGAATTTTACAAGCAAGATTTTTAAGAAAGTAGTCACTTATTTAGCATTTAGAAAATAGATAAAGAAATCTTATTTGATTTAAAAATGTTTGAAATTAACAATTTCAATTCAACTTGTCCAGCCCTGATTTAATAAAAATATGTATGGATAACTTTCAATAATAAAAAGGAAAAGAAATTATTGATGGGCGATTTTATAATGCTTGAAAAGTACTTATTTTTTGTCAAAATTTTTCTAGACACATTGTTTAAAAAATAATGCATCTTAATACATTATTCTATTTAATTACTCTATCAGGAAACTGGTTACAAGTATAATGATTTTATAACCACTTAATTATTTTATTACTAAAAACGTTCAGAATTTTACATTCTTTAGAAATCTCCAGATTGTATATATTTTACTAAAATAGTTATTAACTAAATTTTAATTAATAGTCATAATTTAAAAACTAACTTTTCTCTAAATTTATACACAAAAAAAAAAGAATTTCTTTGGTTTTTAGTGTGGAATTAATCCCTTTTTTTTGCCCGAATAAAATCCTTATTAAGATAACTTATTAAATCTAGTGTTTATATATACAGGGTATCCGCGCACCTGGAAAGTCATGAAAAATCATGGTAAGTCATGAATTTTGGTATTGAACAAAATTTGTCATAAAATGTCATGATTTTTACTGTATTTTTTAAAAAAAATCATGGAAAGTCATGGATTTAGGTCTCCGAAAAATCTAATTTTTAAAATGGAATCTCCCTCCCCCCAATTTCATCCTGTTCCAAATATCTGAATTTCTAACAAAATCACCACTCAGTCATATTTTATTTGAATATAAAATGATTTTATCATGTTCTTTAAAAATTATGGTGTTCTTTCAAAAAATGAAAGAAAAAATATCATTTCTAGAGCGAATTATCCTTTAAACTCTCTTCTGTGATTTAAGAATTTTTATTATTTTTTTTTTTTTAATTTTATCAATTTAAAATTCTAGTTGAAGCAAACCAGTTATTGGCGAATTTTTTTAATTCTGAAATGAACAGAAAAATCAGGAGTATTTCTTTCCTTTCTGATGAACAAGAAAAGTATCTTTAGAATATAATTCTGCAGAAATTTTTTTTTTTTTTTTGCTTTTGTATTTTTTTAGCTATTTTATTGTTTCAACTCTTTCCTTACTCTGTTTTTTAAGTTTAAAATCTATAAATATGAAGAGTATACTAGTTTTGGTTATGCCTATTTCGAATAATGTTATTATAATGCTTTTTTTAATTTATTGTTGCGTTTTTGTTGGAGAAAATAGCAACTTCATTAAGTCATGAAAAATTCTTGGAATTAGTCATGGAAAATCATGAAAAGTCATGAATTTGAAAATCTAAAATGTAGCAGATACCCTGTATATAACATTGAGATTCTTATGTACCTACTTAAAAAGCATATTTCCTTTGATTTTTCAGATGAACTATTCTTCATCCTCACCTGGAAGTCACTATGGGGTGAGTACAATCTGCAAAGCTTTAATAGATGTGTTGATATTAATTAAGCTGCAGTGATTAAACTATTTATACTTTTATGCTGATGGACTAAAAATACTTTATGTGAGCCATTATTCATGCATTGATTTAGCTGAAATATTCTATTTTAAATAGCTAAATCAGTGTTTATTATAGGAATTAAATCTATCTTTTTTCTTCAATTATATAAGTATCAAGCTACTGAAGCAAATTTTTTAAAAAATTTCCCTATTAAGCTTACTTTTCCTATTGAATAAGGAAAACCGCTTTGATTTAACCAATACATGCCTTGTTTTCACTGTGACAGAAGTGTGTTTTGATTCTCCTAAAAAATATTTTGTCCTATTTTTAGCTTTTTGTGCTGGTTTTTCTAATTTTTGTGTTTGTTTAGAAAATCTCATTACCTCAGATTTGGATTTTTGATGATCCTATCTCTTATTATTTGAATAAATTGTGTTACTAGAAATCCCAAAATTTAATAACACCAATTTTGGGATTGTCTACTAATTATATACAGTTTCAGGCAATTAATCTTACTCACAGGATTCATTGTTTTAGCCTCCTTGGGAATTGAATCATTCTATGAAAAGAAATTGTTATTAACAATTTTACATTATCAAATTTTTATGATTAAATGGTGAATTGAAGGTTTACCTACTAAAATTACGTTTGTGCATAAATGTTAAGCGACATATTCATTTGAGTTTTTGTTTCAGGAATTCTATTACAAATTTTAATTATGTATTGATATGAGGGAATATTAACTTATTGTTACTGGTAAATTTTTTAATGCAACAGTACTATAAAATTATTCGATGTATTGATTTGAAATTTTAATGAGTTGTTCAGTATTGATAAAATTATTCTAGAAACTGTTAAAACTTTCTATTCTAAACCAAGTAATTCTGAAATTAAAAATAGGCTAAATAAAATGGTTTTATTCTGTTGCAGTAAAATAATGTTTTTTAGTAATCGGTTAGCCTTTTTAAGAGTAGGATGGTACATGCATACTGTTCACAAAGCAAAAAAAAAGTCCTGATTTTTTTAAAAAAAATATTGTCTTTTTTTTTCTTCTTTTTCCTTCTTCAGCCCATTACAAAGCCTGTTGTTTAGTTGATTGCTCTTAACCCCTTAACGATCGGTTAATTTTCCAGAAAACGGTCATAAAAGTGCCTATTTTTTTTATTAGTGCTATTTGATTAGCGCTGACATCTAGTTTAAAATAAACTATCTAAAACTAAAATTACCTTAAAAATATCCTGGTAATGCCATCTGGTGTGTAAAATGAGAAATAAAATGTTTTCCTGGCAAAGGATATGAATTAGTTTTATTTTTATTGGCTTGTTACTACTGAACACTCCAGCCCAGAAATATCACGGGAGCAGGAAATAGAAGGCGAAACCTCACCCCGTCATTTTAACAGGAGCTAGAAGGAAGGGGATGTGACTTTGATATCTTTTCTGTGCTATTCACTGGATCTCTCAGATTCAGTTAAAGCAGGGGTCAGTGCAAACATAGTTAAAGCAAATATTGAGTATGTTGTTACTTGCTGGTCACTTGCAAAGCCTCACGGTTCATAGGTTGAAAAATGCTGAAAATGTGTTGCAAAAATTCATCAAAAATATTATGTATTATATTTCTGAAGTAGTGAGCTAAAAAATTATAGAGAAAAATTTGTTTTTAACTATTTTCTACTTCTAAATCTAAAGGTCTGTATTTGATCTTTCAGGGTCCACCAGTATCAAGTTCAGGTGGGCAAGGTCCTGGAACTCCCATCATGCCAAGCCCACAAGGTACTGTATAGTTGTTATCATTGTTATTTTTATGTTACCAGGGTTTGTGCTTGCCTTAAAAGTAATTAATAGTACTTAATTTTCTGACTCAAATTTTAAGCTTGTTCAAGGTAAGGTGCTTAAAAGTCCATACTTTTCCTTCAAAAGAAAAACTGAGAAAGGAATTTTATCTTTTAATGCACTTGTCTCGTTTTAAATTGGCATCTATTTTCTTCTTGGACATTTCCACCTGGCTTTTCAAATTAGATTATTTTTAATTAGTATGATGTTATTAAAGCATGCAAATTTCAGGTTTGAAAAGTAACTATTTGTTGATGATTGTTTCAAAACCTGCTTTAAACCTTTTAAACGCATTTCAATCTGAATCCATTTCTTTTTAATGTGTTAGTTTCAGAAGGAGGCCCTCATAATTTCACACCGTAAGGCGGTAGTTTTTTCTACCCTAAATGGCAACATTTTTAATGATATAATTATGACACGTAAGTCTCAAATTTGAGTTATCCCTTTTTCATGCATTTGTTTCACAACAAAGCTATGGTAAGTCCATGTCGTTTTCCTATAGATTTTTTATCCATTTTAATATAATTAATAGTTCTTTTTGGAGTTTATTTTGCATAGTTTTTGTGGGTCTTTACACGTTGATTTTCAATTTGAGTAATTTTTTTGTTGCACCTGATTCTATTGTTTCTAGATTGTTCTAATGGTCATTTTCTCCTGGTTTTTCAAATTCTAAAAATTTGAATTAGTATGATGTCGTTACAACATGTGAATTTCAGATTTAAGTAACAATTATTTTATTTATTTACAAATCACTTTTTGAACTCTTATATTCCGCACCATTTTTTTAACCTTAGCTCTTCTTTTTTTCCTCAATTTGTTTCTTTTTAATCCGTTTAATTCAGATTCCATTGAAATTTCCCACCTTTTGATGATAATAACTCCCATATTTTTAATACAATGTTATTACAACACTCAAATTTGAATTATCACTTTTTCATAGATTCTTGCCTAAATTTATGCTGTTTTTCCTATTTCTTTTTCATTTATTTCAACACACCATAGTTTGATATTGATTTCCAAATATGAATATTTTTAATACGATGTTATTACAACATGTGAATGTTTAATTTCAGCAATGGTTATATATAGACAACTCATGTAAAAAAATTCTCTTTTGTCATGCCAGCATGAATTTTTTTTTATTTTTTATCTCACCCTTTTGACGAAGATGTTTTTTAAGCATTATAACAGCATAGATTTCGAATTTTAGATATCATTATTTTTCCACCTTACTTCACAACAAGGATTTTGTAAATCTGCTACATTTTTCAATGATATCCATACTTTTTTTTTTTCCCCTTCAAATTTCAATGCCTGAATTTATCTGAAGTATTTATTTTTTCAATAGAAAATTGAATTAAATAAAAATTGATTTTTTATTAATGAAAAGTAACAGAACCTTGGTTATTATGGAATTCAAATTTAAGAATATGAAAGAACCATGCAATTTTTTGTGAAATACAATTCCATTTTTTGCTGATTTGGGTAGGGTACTTAAGTGCTTAATTTTTATTCATAGAAATCAGCACAAACCCTGTTCAGTTTTAGAAATTAACTGCATGATATTTATAATTGTTAAAAAATTTGCTTTATATTTTGTTATTTTCCTGAGTTTCTAAGTTTTATTTTCTGTCATTTAGCTTTAAATTTTCTTCTTTTTTTAAAATAGTTATGCTGATTTTAACATTATGTTATATTTTGTTAAATTTTTTGAGTATCAAAACAAAATTGTTCATTTCTCTAAAGCTGAAGATGTTTAAGCTTGATAATGATTCCCATAGATCTAATGATTTGACTTACTCATTTAAAGATGCAATTTTAATGATTTATGCTAACTTGCAAGTAATTAGGGTTATAATAATCTTAATTGACAAATCAGTGGAAAATGTACTTTCAGTGAATAAACAAGCAGACTTAAAAATAAAAACCTGACATGAAAAAATATTCTTTCTTTTTTTTTACAAATTTGCTTTTTATTTTCAAACAAGAGTAAGAGAGATCAACAATCTGAGAAATATGATCTAGATAGTTAAATAAAGAGAGCAATCAAAAATTTGAACCCTTTAATGCTGCTTTTTCTGTTTTTAGTATTAAACAATTTAATTTTAAATGATAAAATGCAAAATTTATTTAAAATTAACTCTTTTAACATATTATTTTAATTTTGACATTTTTAATTTTATGCAGAATGTTAAAACTTTTTTTTAAAAAATTTATAGCTCAAAATCATCTTTGGGTAAATGAATTCAACTATTCATTAATTAATTCAATTAGTTTCCTTTTCTGCATTTGGTGCAGAGATTTTCCCAGTCGCTGGGAGAGGTTATGATAGTCTCTCTTAAAGGTTTTCTTCAAGACAAAGTCTTTGGAAAAAGTTCTGTGCCTTCAGTAAATAGAGATGGTCTTTCCTTGAGGTTTCACTGTATATATTATTCCTCTTGATCCTGAAAAAAATTTTTGGTTTTCCGGTTTTCTGATTTCAGGATAACGGGTTCTGTACTGTATATCCTTATATCTTTTTTCCTCTAGTCTACGAAATTATCAAAGATGATAAAGCTTCTACATATTTGATTCTCTCTCTTATTCATTGTTCATTTACTCCTCCCTGACTGCATGACTCTTGATTTGCATTTGCAGTTTTAAAATAATTCAATTTATAGTAAATTTGTATTTTTACATTAAGTTTTCTAAAGGAAAAAAAATTTCATAAAAATTTAAGATTTGCCTTTAGCTAGCACTTTTGATATTTGGTTAATTAACTGGCTAGCAATTTGAAGTTCTTAGTTTTTCTTAAATTCTGTATTTCATCCTATCTATATTACTTTATATTTAATATCTACCTGAATCGATTCGACTTTGCATAAAAAAATATTAGCATTTCTCGAGAGCGTTTTAAAGGAAATTAAAAATACACTCTTAAGGTTTTCTATTCAGTTTTTAATGCCCTTCATCTTACAGGCAAAAAGTGTTTAGTAGTGTTATTCATCCTGCTATAATTTTCTTTTATCTCTTGTTTAAATTTTAGTTTGTTTATTTCTTATTTGTATTAGTTTGTTTATTTTGGTTTTGAATGATTTTATTTTAGTTGTGTTTTGCTTATTTTCCAATTATTTCTTGCCTGAGTTAATACTCGTTTGGGGAAGAAATAATTGTTGTTTATAAATAAGGATTGATTGCTATCTACTTTAGATTCCTCAGGATCGGGTCCAGATGGAATGTATACTATGATGAAACCAGTACCAGGAGGTAACATGCCTGGGGTAAGTTGTCTTAATTATTTTTAAGTTAATGATGTGGTATTTGTTGGTAAAAAAAATGTCAAATCATTCATATTTATAAGCTTTCTATTATGTAATTATGTAACCCAAAACTATGAAGCTAAAAATCAGGGAATTTCATAAAAATCCATGATGTAGTCGGCAATATAATCATTTNTAAATACAGTCAAACCTCGCTATAGTGAACCTTCAAGGGGCCGAAATTTCTGTTCTTAATAGCCGGGAATATGTAGCAAAGAAATGTATAATCAAATATTGATACGAGTGTGTAAAAAATAAAATGTTTTAAAAACGAAATCAGCCAAAAAAAACTTTTTCTCTAATAAATAAATGGTGGTTACGTTAATTATAAACATATATATATGTGTGTTTTTTTTGTTTTTTTTTTTGTTATCATTGTACAATTTGTTGTTTCATACTGTTTCTGATTTGTTCATTTTTATTTTGTGGACAATAAGCTTGTTAACTGCAAATAACAGTCACCTCTTAACTCACATATTTTTTCACAATCTAACAAGAGGCTGTAGTTCATTTGGTGCACATATGTATCATTTTAAAAATTATTGTAGCAATAAACCTTAGTGATAGCGTGACGACTTAGCAATTTGTTTATACTAATTTAACTATACCATTTGTTAAACATAAATAATTTTATTCTCTGAATTTTTTTTCTAAGAATATAGTTAGTGCAAATTAAAACATGTACCATTGTTGTTAATTTTAAAAATCAAGTAACTCCAAAATAAGTATTGTGTTTGATCTTTTTGTTTGTAGTTCCCAATGGGACCAGGACCTGATGGCCCTATGGGACCCATGGGTCCTGATATGGGACCGCCAGTACTTAATGGAATATCATCGGGTAAGAAAATGCAAAATTATTCTTACATTACACTTTCATCACTGTATAAAAAGTGTTTTATAGATTCTTAAGGTTTGTTATTGCCATGTTAGGCTGTTTATAATGCTAACCAATATAAGTTGTTGATTTTAGGCACAATGATGATCTCTCTATTAGAATTTATTATATAACTAGAATTGAACAGCCAACCCAATTTTGGGTTTACATTTGTAAACTTTCAACTTATAATTTAAAATCAGACCAAAAATGACTAGAAGACTCCTTAATCAAGCAATGGGGCAAACTCTCTTTTGTCAAAAACTTTTTGATGAAATTAACCCACATTTGTGTTACATGGAGAGGAAAACCTCCCACAATTAGTCTGGCAGTAAGAGTAACCCGTAATTCATCTACCACAATGTATATTTTACATTATTACAGTGGTTGGTGAGATGTAGAAGCAGTATTTGAGTCGACAAGCCGATGCTGGTACTCAAACCTTAGAGCCTTTGTTGCTCTTTCTGTAAAAATGATAGAGTAATATTCCCAAAGTTCGTATATCATAGGTATTATCAAGGAAATTGGGGATAAAGATAATGATCTCAAGGAAAATAGTACTTGATGGTGTTTTTTATCCCTATTGATTTTTTCACCCGATATATAAAGCAATAAAATTTTGTGGTCAATAATTTTGAATAGGTAATTTAAGATTATAAAAAAGTAAAGCAATCCTATGTCTGTTTCTACAATTTCAAGACTAATATATGACATGATAGTAGTAATGTGGTCTACATTACACTATAATCAGTTTTACTTCCCTGACAATTCTATTTAACTTAAATTGAGTGAACTACAAGTCACTACCAGGAATAGAAACCTGGTTCTTCGTAATGACAGTTCTATGCCTTTCGAGAGAGATTAAAAATAAAGTTGGTGCATAAGTGCCTCAGCCATTATTTCATCCATCTCTCTTTAATTTGCCTGTTTTTCGAGTTTTTTTTTCTTTTCTTTCTTTTAAAATTCTCTTGTCATTTATTAGACTTAATTTGGGTAAGGCTGACAAACTCTCTTAACTTAATTTACACAAAATCAGTTAAACAACCTTTAAAGCAATGCTTAATTTGGTGACCACCTTGCATTTTATATGTTACAAAAGATACTGCCAAGTAAGTAAATATCCAACCTTAATTTATTTGTGTAAAGTAAAAAGAGAATTAAAGATATACTTAGAATTTCTGTCACCCGTCTACACTACATTTCTTTGATTGTTGAGTTCAGTAGAGCGAAGGAAGTTTTTTAAGACATTCCACCTGATTGTACATCTTATCTAGATACATACATCTGGAAGGGGAAAAAATGTTTTCTTAGATTTAGTTAAATAAAGATAGCATAAAATTCAATGTCTATTGTAACATATATTTTTAAGATATTCATTGATTTTAAGGTGATGGAATGGAAGGAATGAAAAATTCTCCTGCCACCGGGCCAGGTACACCACGTGAAGATGGACCTCAAATGGGCGATTATGGCATTCCAAGTTATGGACAAGACAATGTAATGCATTATTATTTTATTTTTTTTTTACTCTTTATAGCAATAACAAAGAGCTTAATTAAATTGTGTTGAAACTTCTCATTTAATTATTGAAATTATTTTGTTTTAAACTTAGGTTATTTTTTAAATAAGCTTACAAAGGATTTATTCTCAATTTGCACGAAATTTATTTTTATGAATTGTTCTCAATGGTCAAATCTTAACTTAATGTCACCTTTTACTTTTCAAATTGGCTTAATTTTTCTTTAAAACTAATTACTATCTAGTATAGAAACTGGACTAAAATTGATATTTTTTAACTACTAATTTTGTATGATGGAGAAAAATTATTTAATAGAGTGAACAAAAATAATTGCAGTTAAAATAAATTTAAGACACCTATAGTTATGTGTTTGAAAGACTTCAATCTGCTATTAATTCAAAAAAAAGAGCATTAATTCAAAAAATTAGTGCTCTTTTTTTTTTTTTAGTTTGATTTTATTCTTATGTGAATGTATTTGATTTGTATTTTGAAAGAGAAATATTACCAATGTTACATTATGTGTAGGATGTTAGAGAAGTAATAAATTTTGCATTTATGAGCCTAATTGTTATAATCAAATGCATTAAAATAAAAAAGAAGTTTTATCATTTTCAATAATTAAAGTAAATTAATTTTTTAATATCCTTTGTGCATTGTCTTCTGGGGACGAAGTACAAAGAATCAACTGTTTAGAAATACAGTTAGAAGCAACAGTTTTTCAGTTTAAATATTTCTTAAATGCTTTTTTTTCCTTTTTGTAAAGTTTGCAAAACATAACATTCTTGTAAAAAATTACCACCTCTAAATATTAAATAATATTATTGTTTTCTTACATCAAATGATATTCTCCCACTAAATTTTAATTTTTCGCTTATTTATTAATCCTCATACTGAAACATATTTATTTGTACAAAGAAAGTGCCTGTATCTATGTTTGCCATCAGTAAAAAATGACTTTTTTTCCCCATCCAAATTTACAACTCCTACTCTCTAGTTTCTGAATAAGATTTTACTCAGATATTTTAAAACTTTATTTTTATAATAAATACTTTTATTAATAAATACTTTTTGATTGTTTTATTTAAACTATACTAACATGCAATTTTTTTCCCAATCTAGTATCAGCTTGACCCAAGTCGTAGCACCTAATAAGAGAATCTGCAGGAGAAAAAGGAATCGGAAAAAAATTTAGAGCTTATATACACCAACTCACATCTCACGTTCAGGCAATAATCTACTTTGTAAGATGCATTGCACCGTTGTTATTGCATCGTGTTCTGTGACCTACTGCAAACTCTTGTACACGGCCTGCATTCTACAAATTTTTTTTTTCTAGTTTTGGGTGCTCAAGAAATATATGAATGTGCTATCCTCAAGAGTGGTGCCAGAACGCTCAACTCTCGTCAAAATGTTAATCATTCCACTTTTACCCGTTGAAAGTCCGGTGCGGATTATTTTGTGTTGCCGATCCATTTTGTCCGACTCAGTTTTGAGATGGTTAGGAAAGGGAATGATTAATTAATTTTCTTTTTAAACAAAATGAAGCAAAGGCTTTAAAAAATCATATTTATAAACAAACAAGTCATTCTTCTCTTTGAAATGATAATCAGACTATTTTTCTCTGCTTGTGCAAATCTATCGTGAGTAAAGGACAAAAGGACTACTATGCCTTTTGTGAATGTACTATCATGACAAGAGAGAAAAATTCAATGCATACACAAGGACTCTCTTCTGCATCTCCTGCAACTTCTCTTCTCTGCTATGTTTTAGCAAAGTATCTTAAGGCAAATGGACATTCATGTGAAAATAAAAGAAACGCCCTAGATTCACATATGTGTACAGAAAAATGTTAGCAACTATCTATAGGTTTTTCCCCCTTTCACCTCAAATACCAAACATTGGTGTCCCTTTTTTCTCATTGCATTTCTTGCTATTTTCCTCTGTTGCTCGTCTTTTGAAATTCAAAAGAGGGAGGGAGCACAATTCAGGGTCACATATTTAAACTATTCAGTAAGGTGCATCTCATTGAGCATTTCTTAGTTTTTCTCTCTGGATTAAAAAAAAAATTAAAAAAAGCCAAAACATTTCTTTTATTTGCTTCATTTGCTGTACATATGATTTTTATCACCGAGCTAAAGACAGTTTATGTGTGATGAAATTTATGAAAAGAAGAATCCTTGTAAATGATTTTTTTTTTAATTTGTGTATTCTGAGAGAGTCTGTGTGAATGATATTTGCAGCTCTAAATTTAAATTTTTTTTATGGTTAAAATATATTTTTATTCTTAATACCGAATGCACTTTGAGAGCTAATGAAAATATTCTTACGTATGAAATTATTATTATTTATATGATCAACTAAATAGAGTTAAATTAATACTAGTTACATTTTACTTGCTTAACATGTTCCTTATCTTCAAGTGTGGATAAAATTTATTAATCTTATCAAAAGATTATTTGATATAGTATCACTTGGTTGACTTCGTAACTTACACACCAAGTGACCACAGAAGAGATTTTAAAAAAAAAAAATCAAAGAATTTCATTAATCTGGAAATTTTAAAGAACTGAATTAAAATGTGTAAAAGTCTGATTTTTTTTTCTTTCAAAATAATTACTCTTTTAAATATGGATAAGAGTAATGGGTAACTAGAAAATTAAAAATAAAATGCATGCCCCCGGTGCAAAGATCAGGGAAATTATGATAAAACCAGTTTAGAAGGGTCAAATAATTTTTTCCCCCTGTTTTTTTGTACTCTTCCTTAATTTAATTTTTCAATTTTAATATTATTGAAAGTATTAGTGCAAATGAAGCCTCTTTCCTTTTAATATTGTTTTTACTAACAAGTTAATGTTGGAAATTATCATGAATCTGGAAATTTAAGCATTAAGTTCTGTAACTTATGAGCATTTAAAAAAAGTCTAGATACGTGAAGAAAAAAAATTTTTGGTCCTTTGTTAGAAGTGAAATATAATTATTTTGTGTGGAAACAAATAATTATATATATATATATATATATATATATATATATATATATATATATATATATATATATATATATATATATATATATATATNTATATATATATATGTACTTTTAGAAGTTTAAAAATTCTTATTGTTAACAATTATTTGAATACTGAGCAGTAACCATAAATGGATATTCTTTTAATATCTATATTTTTACTGTATATATATTACTTTGTGTTTGAACCAAGAACTCAGTATATTCCTAATTTTATCCACAAGACATGGAACATGTTATTACTATACTTCAATTCTGGCATTTTTGGTTTTGCAAGAGTTGTTTCCTCGCTATCTTAAAAACTCTGTATAACAATTTTTTTTTAATTTATTTATTTATTTAACTTGCTATCTCGGTCTTTAAAATAATGAGGATTCATTATTGGTGTGGTTTCATTTTTAGAAACATTATTTCAGCCATAATTTTTTTTTTGTTAATTTTTTGTTGTTTTGAAATATTTTGTATATATTTAGGATATCTTTTGAGAAGAAAATTGCTCAATGTAAATTTGAACACTGGCACAGTCTTTAGCACTTTTTTCTTTTCCTATTAATTTAAATATTTTTTGTTGTTATTAAACCATAGGTCCAATTGATGCATATTTTGTAACAAAATTTGCACATGCTGCTCTTTTGCCATTTAATTTTGTTCTGGTTGTATAGAAAATGTAAAAGATGCAGAATTTTTACTAATGGTGAAAATTTTCTTTTTATAATAAGTTTCATATTGTGCCAAAGAAACTCATTTTTGGAACATTTCTTTAGAACAAAAAGCGGCTTTTTGACACCTTTTGCTATTTTTTAAGTTATTTTTTTGTTTAATACTATGCATTGTTTAAAACATGAAAGAAATATATTAAAAAGGACATATTTTTGGCTAGAAAATTGTATATTTAAAGCAGAAATGTATGGTGCTTCAGTCTTACATATTTTGGTTAAGTACAGTAGAATTTTGATTACCTGAGATCAGCTTCTTTAAATTGAAAATATTTATAATAGTAATAAAGTATATATAATATAAAGCAAGTTATCTAAATTTTTCTTTCAAATTTACCATTCTGAGCGCTGTTTATAAATATTGTAAATTTCAGCTATAATTTTAGTGTAAATTAAAATACTTCATCCCGAATTGTTTTCTAAGTGATGTTGTAATGTTTCAACAAAAAAAAATTGGAAATAAATTTTTCTCATTCACTAACATCCCTTAAATGGGTATTCTAACTATAAAAGTTTTTATACATAAAAATTCTTTTTTTTTAGCAACATAATTATGAATTTAAATCTAGGTTTAGCGAACAACTTACAAGAAACAAAAGGAGAAAGAAAATTGAAACAAATAATTGCATTGATTTCTTTCATGAATTAACTGTTGTAAATTGTTAAAAATGTTTTAATAATTTTTTTCTCCTAACACACAAAATAAAAGTTGGCTTAAGCTAAACAAAATTCTACTGTATTTTAATGTTTCTTATACCGTCAACATTGAATCTATATGTTTTCTTTTTTATCACATTTTTTTTATCAACTTTTCTCCTCTCAAGTACCTATTTGCTCTCTTTCTTACAAATAGTCAACTTTAAAACACAATCAACCTTTGTAATCATAAATGTTTCAGACCTCAACAGGAGGTGTTTGAAAAGAAAAGCAGTGCTAAATTTTGAATCGCTCAAATGTCTGAACGTATCCGTTGTTTGTTATGTGTGTTTGTCTCTATGTCAAAGCTTCTAAAGCAAACAATAATATTAAAAATAATTCCAGATTGTTGTTGGGGCGCTCTTTAAACATTTGGAAGAAAAAGTTTAGTAGAATCTGTATTCTTTTTATAAATTATTTAACTTCTTTTTCTGTAAAGAAATCTTTCATTGGTACTTTTAAGGGGAGTCTTGTATCACATTAAATGTTTATTGGTTATTATACTGTTTTAAAACTTTAATTTATGCATAATTATTGCCTACCAACTTATAAAATAATTGTCACTTCTACTTATTACTTTTAATACAAAATCCTGCATGCTTATTGTTTTGATGTAATTTCTGTAAAACTCCAAACTTGTATTAACTAAGTAAATATAAAAATATTTGTTTCAGTTGTGGTAAAAACTTGAAATGTCTGATTTTTAATTTTATAACTATCAATTAAATGTGAAGATGTAGTGTGGAAAATTCTTTTTGAAAACTAAAAATATGGTAGATTTGTCTCTTTTTTTTATTTATTTACAATGATTTTGTTTTAGCTTGTTTAAATCAATTGTTTTTATGTTGAAAAATATATAAGCGTTTTATATTTAAATATATGTAATTTTAGCTCTAAAATGTTTGTTTTAGTTACGCTTAAAGCCTAAAGATTTAGACTTTAAATTTTTAACTTTCTATGAAAAGTAAAATTGAATGTGTAATATCCTTAAAAGGATTTTTTTTTTTTAATATTAAAAGCCTGTACAGATTCATGTAAAGGAAATATTTCACAACTTTTTTACTTTACATGTTATTTAATAGTAAATGTAAAGGAAATATTTCACAACTTTTTTACTTTACATGTTATTTAATTGTAAAGAAAATGTTAAATCTAAATATAAAATACGAAGAAAAAGACTCCCTTTAAGTAATGAAGAGAAGGAAAAAAAAATTTTTTTTTTGATTATGAGTTAAATCTTAACTCTTGTTGTTTTTAGCTTAAGATTTTTAACATAGCTTTTTATATTATTATTATTGTATATGCATTAGTATTTCACAGCTTATATAAAATGGTATGTTTAAAGGTAAATGATGTCTTTTTTAATAACAATCAATTTCCAATTTTATAATTTTTAAAATTTTATTGTACTGCATTCATTATTTCTAAGAAATATATTTCTAAAATTTCTTATGGCGCATTTATTAAGAGAGTGGTTTTATGAATTCAGACTTTAAATGTTTTAAACTAAAAAAAAATACAAGTAGTTAATACAATTGTTAGAAGAATCTCAAATGTGGAGTAATTTCATTTTTTATTTTCGACTATTTTCTGAGAATAAATGTTGAGTTGCTTTTTTAAGTAAGTTAACAATTTTTGCAATCATCGAAAAGCTTCACTTCATGTTTATCTTTACTTAAATGTCCTTTTTCTTTGTCATGTTAATGAGTGTGATATATTTTTTGCACGGAATTGTGATCTTTGATAACTTTTATAACTGACGAATTGATTTTATACAAGTATACCAAGTTTTTGATTTTACAAATCATTGTGCATGCCGAATCTGAAACAATGTGCTAACATTATACGTGTACATAGATTTTTTTTTTTTTCAACTATCTTGTGTTGCTCAAAATTTGTTTTGTATTACTCTCTTTTTTCTTTTTTTTAAAAATTTATTACTGCATGAAATGACATTTTTTTTAATACTTAATAATATTTTTAATCTCTTAAGAAGAGACTGTATCTATTCAATGTTCTTGTTCTATAAAATGTTGAGTATTTGAACAATTTCAATTGCTGTAGAATCATCAAGGAAAATATTTATGAGTTATAATTATAAAACCAATATAATTTATTTTATTTGGGATGCCAATGGCTGCTAA